ATCGTCTCCTGGCGAGTTTGTTCTTTTGCCGTTTGCAGTAAGATAGCTAGGAAGATTCCTAACATCGCTAGTCCAACATGCTTGCGTATAGTTAACAGTACAAAGAATTTGGGCAATTAATAACGAACTTGGGCGGCATCGCTCCTCACTACTTTGGGCGCTTGTAGCGCAGGCGCCAGGCATTTTTGCTTCGAACAAGTATGATATTCGTAATCAGGGAGCCAGACTCTCCCTTTGAGCAAACTTCTAGCGAATTCTGAAATTTTGACCTAACCTCGAAAATTTGGGCAGTCACTTACTCACCGATCCACCAATCCATTACAAAAGGCTGGCACTTGGGTAGAATAAACCTTTTAAACACTTTTCATAATAGACAAAAATTGTGTCTGGCTTGCCCGTCTGCATCATCCAAAGATCTGCAAAGCATTATTTCCTAATACAACACCTCTCTCCCCCGTCGTCCATGATTGGTCAACCCAAAAAAGTGGAGTTTGAGGAGTGGTAATCCCATCACTGCTCCGCTTTTTCTCAATTAGTTCATGACCTCAGATTTGGCGAAAAACTCGTTTTAGGGGTAGTTTGATCCCCTGAATACGAATATCGTACCTACTTGCCACGGAAAAGCATAGCACCTGCACTACGGGCACCATGGGCACTCACAGACAAGTAGTGCTTAAACTTAAGAGGATCTGCTTGCAAACTCTTCGTAGATGTAGCGTCGGGCGACCGTTGATAAAATAACGGATTCAAAAAGGCTTTTCAGCCATGTTGGAAAAAAAGCAAAACACCAAACCCGGAAGGGACGAACCCGCGACCCCTTACATGAGAAGCAAGACCGCTACCAACTGCGCTACCGAAGCTCATCCCTCGGTTCTCCTTTCGATACTTTTATAATGCAGCTAACATGTGATTGCAGGCAAGACACTGAAAATCAAGGGCGGCAACAAAAACCCTCCGTAACTCCTTTCAGAGAAGAGTTCAGCAGATAATGAAAGCAGATTTGAGTTCAGCGTCTCATGCTGCGTACAGAAATGTGCACCTCATTTCATTTGGCCGGGTTGGCCTAATGACCTTTCCTGGTGAGTCCAGTTTTTTTTTTCAAATGTCGATTTTGTACTAAAATCAGTAATAACGGATGCTGTCCCTTCTCACTGTTTGTTATGATCCTCGAGAACTGGACACGCTTTTCACTATATTCGCCGTATGTAAGGCCAGTGTCAGACCTTGGGAATTCGTTTGTTCCCTACTACACGAGGGGTACGAGCAATGCGTCATCGGTCCGAACGATGCAGTTTAGTCGCCGTACGCTGATAAAGTGCTCATAGCTCTCGAATTTCTCACTGTCCCCCAGACCGCTGTTTACTGTGCACCTATTCCGCGTTTCGCGAAAAACGCTCAGTCGCTAGCGAATCTGTGGATTCGTAATGTCTGAGTGGTCTTAATAGCTTCTAAAAAGGTGGGCCAAGATAGGGAATAGGTCCAGAGTAAAACAGCGTAATGAGGTTGGTAATGAATGACGTTGACTATCAAGTATTCAACGTCACTTATTACCAACTGATCATTAAGGGTGTAAACACGATGGCTGAAGAGCAAAGCGATTTTGATGTCGTCATTGGACGTCATTGGTGAATTAGACTCCTCAGCGCACTGGTGGGCGTGCTTGGGACCACGTCCTAATTCCTCTCCAACGAATCATGCTCAATGACAT